ATTTGCATATGTCATTTGTGGAATGTTTTCTTTGCACCATGAATTCCAAACCGTAGAGGGAGAAATTACAAGTGTTTGGATATTTAATGTAAGCCTGAAACATTCACTTGATTTTGATGTGGCACCGCTGACGACTCGGCCTGGATATACAGGCTGTGCTGCAGACGCATGATGTGTGTCTGATACTGGGAGGGACCGAGCCTTACCAAGTGTTCAAAGCCTGCCTCTGTGAGCTGCAAAGATAATCCAGTGAAACCACTCATTTTGATCGTTGGGAATTTTGATGATCCCAGTGCTTGTAAAGGTTTAGCACTGCAGGGAATTGACACATCTAGTAGGAAAACATGCTTTTGATGTGAATTAAGGAACAAAAGGAAGCTGCTTGCACAACCTGGGAGCTTGGCATGTGAGGGAAAAACACCAGGGAAGGGCAGAGATGGAAAACAATGGAGTGCCTCAATGCAGCTTCTTTAGGAAGAAGTGAAGACTCACAGAATTCTGTGTTCTGGTTTCATGAGAGATGCCATGCTACTGCTGCTTCTGAACCTTGTGCCTGCTTCAGAGCTCAACAGGCTATTACCCCTCCTGGGGTGCAACTCTGCAACATATCCCTCTTGCACAGTTGATCCTGGGATAACTGCTGCCAGGCTCTGCTCCTAACCAAGTCAGCACATCTGTAGGGATGTGACAGAAGTGGATTAAAGTGACTGCAAGCACAGCTTTCTGAAAGAAAATGTTACATAGCAGTGGGGGTAAGTTGTTTGAAAATAGCAGATGTGCATGCCTATTTCTGTTCCTCAAGTTAACCCCTCTGCAGATAGCTTGGATAGGTTTGTGACTACATGGTTAAGGAGAAGCAGCCTCAGATATTTGCTCATTAGTTTCCCTGCCTCTGCATACAGCTTCCCCGTAATCTTTCTTTTTCCAGTAGGCTTCTTTTGTGTGGGACAACCTCCTAGATCCACCTTGCCCTGCCCTTTCTTGGAGACTCTTCTTTTGTTTCAGGCTGAGCAGACCCTCCCTGCTTTCCCATTGCTTTCTCAGCAGCCCTGAAGCCGGGTATGTACCTCACCTAGGCTGCCTTATCTGATACATTGTTTTAAATCTCTAGGTAGGCTCCATAATGACACCTTTATGGTTGCTTTTGGCTTAACCATCCTGAAGACATTTTTTCCAGTTTCTGTTGTTTTTCCCCAAGTGCTGCCCCACCCACCCTCACCCCAGCCAGGGAAGAGCACTGGGCAAGGCAGGACACATTAGGGTGGACAAATTAGTGTGCTGAGGAAAGATTTAAAACCTAACACAGCAACAACATTAAAGGAAGATGCTGTCAGGAAATCTGGTCATCTGAAAGATCTTGAGCCTGTGACACAGACATCAAGATATCACAGAATGGTTTGAATTGGAAAGGACGTTAAGGCTCATCCTGTTCCAATCCCCCTACCATGGACAGGGACACCTTCCACTAGATCAGGTTGCTCAAAACCCCATCCAACTTGACCTTGAACACTTCTGGGGATGGAGCAGCCACGACTTCTGTGGGCAACCTGTTCCTGTGTCTCACCATAGTCAAGATAAGCCACTCTTTTTATTTTCTGTGGTCTCAGCAACTGCAAGGAGACCACTGGAGTAGTATCTATAAAAAGAAAAGGTGTTATATGCCATATGGGAAAATGGCTGTGGTTATACCTTTGGAAGTGCAGGCTCTAGTGAGGGATTGAGTCATCAGAGGGGGAAAAACATCCCTAAACTAGCCCACCCACTTTGCCTGAAACCTCAGTGTCTGGTTGCATTCCTTTGTAGTTCCATCTCCCTTATCTCAGAAGGGAGGTGCTGAGTAGTTTGGGATTTTAGGCTCCATTTGCATCTGGTTGAATAAAGCCTGACCAAAGTACTTTCCTTCCTTAGAACTGATGGCTCAGCTATTGTTCTGTTGTCTCCTCTGGAATGGAGTAGGGGCATTGTCTTACTCTTTTCCTGATTATTCCTTCTAGAACAAGCCAGATGCTCCTGGCTTAAGGAAGCACAGAGGCCTCAAAGCTGGATGAGCCAGGTGATGTAAGATACTAATAAGCAAGTTGTAGTTTACACTCGTTAGAAATGGCTAATACATAAACCAGACTTTCCTCAAATTGTCTAGTTTAAATTAAGCTCTGAGCAGTCACCCTAAACCTGCAGTTAATTTGAATATTTCTGATTTGGACTAGGACAACTTGCATGCCTGTAAGCCACAAACACTGAAAGCACTGTTGCTAAATCAGCTACTTGAATGAAAGATGCTGCCTTCCCTGAAGTCCTGGCTCCCTTGCATGGCTTCTGTTGTGACTGTAATTTTGCAGCTGCTGTAGCACAAATCAATGCTCTTTTTCTTTTAACCTGAGGCAAGCAAAATGCAAATCCAGGTCACGTGGGGTACAGAGGGCAGAAAAGTAAGGCATTAATGAAAAAATATCTTGGCTGTGCTTCACTGAAGAATAGCTTTCTGAAGCTCCCTGTTGCCTGACTGCTCCTGGTGCAGAGCAAAGGCCAGGAACTCTGAGCTTTGTGAGGTAGCTTCAGGTGGCAGGACCTGGCACTTGTGGGTGCTTCTGTGACAAAGAAGTTGGAGGTGCATCTGTGACAGTGTGAGGGTGTTCATGACAGACTTGAGAGACTGGCTGCACTGGAAGGGGTCATGATGTTTGCTCATAGCACTACATTCTCAAGTAAGAGACGGTTTTTCATGAGCCTCTAGCCAGTACATAAGAAATTATGCTGAAATAAGTCTGCATAATAAACTGTGGTACCGCTGCTGGTTCTGAGAGAAACTGGACTATAAAGGCTAAATACTTCAATACGACTTCATGGTAATTCGGTGCAATCTTTCTTAGGATTCCCTGTTTGAGATTCTGAATCCATTCTGCATTAACTTGTGTGACAGTGGTGTTAGACACATAAATTAGTCAATGGGCACAAGTTTGCTGCTGCCACCTTCTCCCGAGGACACATGTGCAAACAGGAAAAGGGAGTACTTTGGCAAATGTTTGGACTGTTATGAGTGTTTAAATACACAGTTGTGATCATCCGGACTAGTAAACAGTTGAGACTTCTCAGCAGTTTGATTTCTCCTGGACCTACTTGTTGCTTACTAACAAATAAAAACTTGATCTGGACATGCAGGTCAATTCCAAGAACTATACTTGTCTGCAAAGAAGTGCCTGGCAGTGCTAACTCTTGCTTTCCAGCCAACTGATTGCAGTGACTGATTTTGTATTTCTACCTCTGCTCTTGCTTGGCGTTTTTTGGTTTGGCTTGTCCGTCCATCTGTCCCCCCCTCAAATGCAGTGTCATCTGCTAGTGGTGAATTCTCATGTGCCTGAATGGATTTAACAGCAGGATTTAACAGGCTTGCACTGAGGTAGTGGCTCTTTGGGCTCCACTGTCCTTGGCTGCACAGTCCCTGCTCTCGGCTGCACCTTGCCCATCTGAAGAGAAGGCTTGACAGACTCCCTGTTCAGAGGCAGCTGTTAAGATACAGACATCTGATATGTGACATTTGCACTTCGTACCAGGCATGGATAAGGCCTAAGCCCTCTCACCTTCCAGCAGGGAGGAGAGGACTAACAGTAGTAAAAAAAAAAAGACTAAAGGTGACAGAAGAAAGAATACTCTAAAGATGAAGAAACAGCAGGATCAAGCTCATAAAAGCAGAGAAGAACAACTGTGACTTTTCAGGAATGAGCATAAGCAAAAACCAGTCTCTTTATAGCCCCTGAATTAATCCACCACCTCTTTTCGCCTACAGTCCTTAAAGGTGGGGGGATTTTTCCAGCTCTGTGGCACACTAGGCTGTTCTCCAGAACTGCTGATCATTTCCTGACTGGCAAGAAGGGTAATGGCTTCTGGCAGGCTCAGGGAACCTGTAGGCTGGGGGAGGGTTGTCACTTCACCTTACCAAGGCCTCCTGCATCACAGATCTACTCTTTCTGTTCTTCATGGTTGTGGATGTTAAAATTCCACTTCCTGTTCCCTACAAAGCAGGAGGAGCAAGCATATGATTTATCCATATGGGATAAATGCTGACCTTCCAGCCACTTCCTTCAGAAGCCATGGAGGTACTGTGTGTGCTCCATCAGTCAGATTTGGAGGCCACAGAGTAGCCACTGTGACTGCAATGCAACAGTGGGAAGTTCCCAGTGGGGAAGGCTCAAGGAAGCACAACCTTTGGCACCATCTCTTCTCTGCTCTTCTTTCCCACAGTGAACTTGTACTGGCAGAAGGCCACAGCTGATGCTTTCTGTGAAGGCACCCCCCTCCATGGATTCCTCTCTGCTTCTACCTTTCAGCAAGCCTGGATTAGCCATTACAGAGAAGACAAAGCAGGAGTACTGTCCTGTGTAACTAGAGATCCAAGTTCAAAATACATGGCACAGAGTTTGTGTTGTAACCTGGTGCTTGCAGAAGCTGTTAATTTTCTCCCAAGGTATGTGCCAACACACAGCTTGTTTTGATGCCTCCAAACCATGCTGGCAAATGCTGAAGTCAGCAAGGAGCAGAGAGACTGGTGAGGTGGGTTGAGGGTGTGAGTATCTCCTGCTGCTACTAGATTCAGTAAGCTGTTGTGTTGGCCAAGTATCCCAAATGGCCTCATAGTATGCAAGGACAATGGGAGAGCAGCAAACATGGCTAAGCTTTGTAAGAATCGATAATTGTGCTTCATTGTACTTAATGAATTCTTTGCATACATTTTTTTAAACCTCTGGATCTTCTTTCCTAGTTGTAAAATGTATAAAGAAGGAGAGATGTGGCTTTTTTTTTCTGGATGTTTTTCTATGTTGGCAGTTGCTGATAATTTGCTTGCCTCACATTTGAGATGAAATCCTTCTGTCAGGATTGTTGTACGACACAGCAGTAGAGACAGAAAGAGAAAATTCAATGCTAAGCACTGAAGTAATGCCATGCAAGCCTGTGAAATAAAAGCCTAGCTGCTCAGGTAAGGTTAATAAAGTTAATAAAGTTAATAAAGTTAATTAAGTTAATAAATATCACATTAGTTGTCCATTGAGAGAAGCCTACATGAAAGATGTGCTGGTAAGGTCATGTAGGCCCTGAACTTTCCAAATATACCACTAAAAGAGAAAAATGTGACCAAGTGCGGCCTGGGCTGTGAGCACCTGCTTTATGAATAAAGGCAACTGAGTAAAAATCTTTGACAGGAGATAATTGCCGAGAGGAGAGTGTATGTTAAGGAACAGATAAAATCTGTAACAGGAGTTGTGCAGGCAGCTACCTGCTAAAAGACTATGGTTGTGTGCAGTGCCCCTCAAATAATGGGGCTGCTCCACATGCCAGCTCAAAACAAGAATCTGGACGTGGGAGAAGCAAGTTTTGGAGCAGCAAAGTTAATTCTCGTTTGTGAGGACAGTGGTGAGCCAGCCTGTGCCTGATTGGTGAATCCTGAGTTGCCAGGAGGAGACACACAAGACACGGAGGAGTGAGACTGAAGTCGCTTGACATCACTGATCCCTACAGGGATAACCGAATCCAAGTCAAAAGGCAATATGTCGTGGGGTGCTGAAGAGGAGAGCTGGGATTTAAAAAGCACCCTTTCCTTTATGATTTGAGGCCTGGGAGGTGGAGGGGTCATAGCACAGAGATAAGCAGGCACAACAGAGAACTGCACCTGGAAATTTTGATGCCAGCTGTTTGCCTTGCGCCTTTGGAAGTCATAAGGGCTTTACAACACAGGGAGTAAAAGAGGGCTTGGCACATGGAAGGCCCAGGATTTCTGGATAACCAGGGAAATGCTGCAAGAGCTGTGGAGAAGGATCCCTGGTGATGGAAGTTGGGGCCAAGGCCAAAGCACAGCAAGAAGGCAGACAGAAACCAGGCCTTTTGGGAATCAGCCTCTCGGGGAGCCGAGAAACTTTTCCACCGCGATGGGAAATCTCTTCTCCCTCTTTTTCCTCCCTGCAGCTCTTGGAGGCGGGGGAGCCGAGCCGCTGCTGCTCGGGTAGCCGCCGCTCCCAGCTCCCCGCGCTGGCCTTACGGCATGGAGACGAGCTTCCCGAACAGCCCGGCCTTCGCCCTCCCCGCCGGGCAGGGCAGCCTGGCCCGGGCGGGGGACCCGCCCAGACGAGGGTACCCAAGGCGCGGCCACCGCCCTTCTGCCCTCCCCGCTATAAGAGCGGCGGCGGCGGGACCTCTCCTGCGCGGCTGGAAGCAGGTAGGGCCGGCGGCGTGCGTGTGCATTTTGTGATTATTCATTATTGCTGTTAATTATGGTTAATTATTGTTGTTACGCTTCTCTCCCCTGTCCATAGGCAGACGTATAGGTAGGTACACACGCGTGTGTTTGCACTGCACGGCGGCACCCTCGGCAGTGATGCCGCCGCGCCGGGCGCTGTGCCCGCGCATCCGGGCGTGCGGGGGCGGGCCCGCCGGCGGAGCGGCCTTGGCCTTTCCCTCCTGCACCCCCGATTTAATTTTTGCCGCCCCTTTATTACTCCCCCTCTTCTTTTTTTTTTTTTTTTTTTTTCCCCCCTTCTTCTTTCGTCCCAGCAGGCCGGTGCGGGGGAGGAGGTGTGGAACTCGCACTGAGAGTCGGTGACGATTCCCTTCGCAGGCATGTCGTCCGTCAGGATCGAGTGCGTTGCCAACGAGGGCTACAGGATCGGGGAGTCGCCCGTGTGGGACGAGAAGGAAGGCGCGCTCCTGTACGTGGACATCTCGGGTAGGAAGGTGTGCCGCTGGAGCCCGGTGACCAGGCAAGCTCAGGCCATCACCGTGGGTAAGGAGCCGCTGGAAAACCCTCTGCTGCATGCGGGAGTTGTGTGTTCTGACTCCGCGCCGTGTCCCTCGGCAGCTGCATGGTGCTCATCTTCTGGAGACCTTTCCTAGGCCTACAGGACACTGGGGCTTTGCACAGACACTAGGGACAGGCCAGACTTAGTCCTGGGGACTTTCTTTATGGTTTTGTGGTACTGGGTTATGTTTGATCTACATCTTCTTACTGTAAGTTGTCCACAACTAGCAAGTTGGACAAAAGTCCTCTTTTGTTCCACATTGTCCCAGAGGTAAAGTTCTGCTGTTGGTTTCTGTTGTAGTTTTGTTCTGATTTGAATGAGCAATGCTCATAACATTTTCTGTATTGTAAAAGATTTCCACTAGCAAATTAAGAAGTTGTTATATTTTAAGGTAACAGTATCACCAGCTAGAGTCTCAGTAGTTTTAAGTATTTATTCCAGAAAGGAAGAGATATGCTAACTCTCATGAAGAAAAAGTTGCAGATTTGCTGCTGGTGTGATAATGTAAATATTTGTCTGTCTGAAGACAGCTCCTTAAGTGGTTTCAGTACAATTTTGTTCTCATGTTCAGTAACACTTGGTGAAAATCAATTTTGCCTACCCATAAGCTACTGACATTATTCACAAGAAATTGATCTGGGCTTATCTGCCCTTCAGATTACTGTAGTTAGCAGTTTTAGGGTGAGGGAAGACCTGATATTAATTTGGGAAATGTTGCTTTCCAAACTTATTTCCTCTTAGCTTAGCTGAGCCAGTGTGCTTCTCCCAGCCTTCCTCCCCAACTTGACCTGCTCTCAAAGGTGTAGTCTTTTCATATGGCCTCCCTGGAGATGTGGAAGGGATAGAAGCTGAAGTAGCTCCTTTTTTAATTTTTTTTATTGTTTCCTCTCTTTAGTAATAAAATAGTTATGACTAATAGCTGTGCCTTTGGGAATACCATGGCTAAAAGACACAAAAAAAACCCCACACAGCCTAAGAATGTCATACTCAAGTAGTGGGTTTCCAAAGTGGAAACTAAGAGAGAAATTACTCGTTACTAAAATGTACGGAGAATTACAACAACCACATACTTAGCAACAACGTCAAATGCCCTTTTTAACTCCTCAGGGAAAACACCGCTACACACATAACTGTACCTGGAAGGGAGACCCTATGGTCAGTTTTCTTTTTGGTATGAAATGGTGCTACAAATAAATCAATTCCTGCAGATGCTGCTATAACAAAGCCCTGCAGTGTCGCAGTGGACTGAGCTGGCTGCAAGGGCCGAGATGCTCGCTTGCACTGTATTTGTGCAGTGAACAGCAGGGTGTGCAGTGAACAGCAGGGTGTCTATGTCTGGATACACCCCTTTCCTCTGCAGTGCTTATTCAGGAAGGTATGGGGCTGTTCTTGTGTAGGGGCACCTGGGGAGCCGACACCTCCAGGAACAGCCAGTCAAGGGTGTGTGGACTGCTGTGCTTGGGGGCTGCTACTCCCTGGATAGGAGGAAGGCCTTGGGGGCTGCCCAAGTGAAAGGGCTTATGGGAGCCATGGCCCCAGGTGTTTTCCTGGGAAAGCAAATGGAGAGTTGTGTTCCCATGTTCTGCTAGCAGAGGCCCTACTGGTGGTACAGGCAGGAAAGAACTTTTATTGATGTGGTTACTGGCAATCCAAAGAGCAGCAAAATTACTACGTGTGGCAGGTGCCACACGGCTGATGGGACTCTGCTGACCTCTGTGCTGGCACAGGAAGAAGAATTGGCACCCAGTCACCCAGTGTAAATGAGCCCAGACCACCAGCAGCCTCCGTAGTGGGGTCACACACCTCTAGGACATGGAGCTGCTGGAGTTGAGCTTGCAGTCAGGTGGGCATCTCGAGTGCTGGCAGTAAATAGCATTCAGATTTCTGGCACAGCGGTACCGCTGCCAGGGCTCTAAAGGGAAGGGACATCCCGAGCCATGAGCAAACAGCCAGAAAGGACCAGTTCCTCTTGGCAACAGTGGTGGCTGGTGGTAGTTATATAAGTATTTGTGAAACTATTACCTAATTATACCCCTGCAAAGCTATAAATACAAGAAGTGTTTTATTTTTTTTAATTATTAACTTGGTGATTAGTCTCATGTATATAAAATATTATACCAGACTTTATTGCCCTGCCTAAAGTTATTATTCCTTATATTGCATCTGATTGTAGGCTTTTACAGAAATGTTATCTTCACTGGGTTTTTTTACTAATTCATTTATAATAACCTGCAATTGAGGTTTTATGCATAATAGCTCAAGTGAGTGTAAATTAACTGTGGAGTATACACTAGTTTTCTAGTGTTTCCCTTTAACTCTTGGGAAGCTCCGCCACTCCTTGGTGTGGTTTTGGTGCTGCTGGAGGCATATTTGAACTGCACAGCAGAGTGTGGTGCAGGGGAGTGGCTCTTCTGCCCAGTGTGGCTTGTCCCAGTGCAGAGATACTCTTGCCTCCATCAATGTAGGGCTGATTTATGCAGGAGCTGTGCTAATCAAACACAGTTGCTCCAGAGCTCTTGTGGCAATTGATTTTTCCTTTGTGTGGGGGGGAACCCACACAGTAACCTGATGTAAAAAGCCCTGTCCCCCCTTTAATGCCTGGGGTTTTTTTTTAAGCATCTAGCTGAACCAGATGCTGGTAATGATTATAGCTCCTGGGAGCAGTGGTAATACTTAAGTTTCTTGAGTTTAAATGTCCTAATAAATGGTGATACCCTTCATAGCAACTTGCTGTATACATTAAGTATGCACTCTTAGCATGACCTAATCTGTTTCTATGTATTTGGACTTCAATTTGTTTGGTAGAAAAGTAGGTTGTTTCTCTTGCCTGTGGTTTCACTGAGTTCAGTTTGCATGTCTAAAGTGGGCAGAAATATCTTGCCATAGCACATCCCTCTTTTCCATTTCACCCTGTTTCTAGATGCTCCTGTGAGCTCTGTGGCTCTTCGGAAATCTGGAGACTATGTCATCACCCTGGGAACCAAGTTTGCTGCTTTGAAGTGGAAAGAGGAGCAGGTAACCACCATTACTCAAGTGGACAAGGACAAACCGAATAACCGATTCAATGATGGGAAGGTGGATCCTGCAGGGAGGTATTTCGCAGGTATGCTGCAGGGCGGTTCCTTCCCGCTGGTGCTTGTTAGGTTTTGGTGATAAGATACAGTGATCAGTTGTAGATGCAGCAAGTTTTCCTTCATACTTAAGTGGTGGGGGTGTTTTTTTGTCTTCAGAGTTTAATCCCGTTTACAAATCTGTTTGTATCACCTGGGCACCATCTAATCAGGACTGTTTTTTTTAAAAAGAGACACACTATTCAAAGTCTGCCTAGTTTAAGACATGAGCTTTGCCTTCTCCCTGTTGGCTGCTTGTTTTGAATACTCTCAGGGTGCCAATAGAAAGTACTTTTCCAGTTAGCAAGTTATTATACTGTGTGTTTTGTTCTTCATAAATCAGAATTTATAGATTGTATTTCTAAAAACTATGTGACTGTTTATACTGGAGAAGAGAAGGCTCAGAGGGATCTTACCTGTGTATAAGTACCTGATTTGGGGTGGTGGTGAGGGAGTAAAAAAAAAGATGGAGCCAGGCTCTGCTCAGTGGTGCCACTGATGGGACCAGAGGGAGTGGACACGAACTACAAATCAGCAAATTCTGTATGTACATAAGAAGACTCTTCTACTGAGGATGATCAAAGAGCGGAACAAGTTGTCCAGGGGGGCTGTGGGGTCTTGATCCATGGAGATCTTCAAGACCCAACACTGGCCTGAGGAACCTGTGGTGTCTGACCCTAGGCTGAGCAGGGGGTGAGGTGATCCTGGATGATCTCCAGAGGTGCCCTCCCACCTCAGCTGTCTGTGATCCTGTTCTCCTGTTTTTTGAAACACCGTTCTGTGCATTTGCTCTATAGTTCAGTCCCCAAGCTTACCTTAGCTTGCATTTACCCAGCCTCTCAAGAGCCAGTCTCAGCTGCCAACTTCAAATTGCAAAGATGAGATTTGCTTTTGAAGAGGCTTTAATGTAAGACTCATTGAAGGAGGAGGTAATTTTTTTCCAGTTTCTCAGCTCTACAAGACATTAAGATTTGTGGGAAGTTAAATGCTGGCCACACCTTTCTTAATATATGAATGACTGAATAAAACATTTTGCGGGAATCACGCTGCACACTATTTCTGCTGCAGTTCAACAAAACCCCAGAGACTATGTTCTGTCATCTTTTGCTGAAAGCAAGCACTTCAGAAATCTACCTTTCTTTTGCTTTTAACTCAGTTTCTTCCTCAAATTTCAGAAGCCCCCTGCGCTGCTCCCTTCTACATTGTGATTATCATCATTGCGAGGGGCTGCCACCAAACCTGGAGGAGAGTCCATTCGCTCTGAACCTGCTTTCTCCCCTTTGGCTCTGCACAGGTACAATGGCTGAGGAGACTCGGCCTGCCGTGCTGGAAAGACACCAGGGCTCTCTGTATACACTTTTCTCTGACCTCTCAGTGGTGAAGCACTTTGATCAGGTGGACATTTCCAATGGGCTGGACTGGTCGCTAGATCACAAAACCTTCTTTTACATCGACAGCTTGTCCTATTCGGTGGATGCCTTTGATTATGACCTCCAAACTGGAAAAATTGGTATGAATGACTGTATTCTAAAATAATTGGTTGTACCTAAAGATTGTGATGTTTGTTCCTGTTCTGGTTATTATATAGAGATGATCAGAGCTTTGGGAGTGCTTCTTCAGTAACCTCTTGAGGGCAAAACAACAGAAGCCATATTAATGCCTATCTTCGCCTGCATAGGCTCCTGGCTCAAACTAGTCAGGATCTGTTGGTGGGTCTATAAAGTATTTAAATTGCGTGGCAGTTTGAGTAGTGATCTGTACTACTGTTACTAAACACAAGGCATATCTGATCTTCCAATTTAAAACCAGCAAAGTGTTTCTCATTTGTCAGGTTTCTGTGGCTGTGTGTTTCTTGCTGCTGAAAGCGTAGGCCATCTTGTAGTCTTGTACAAAACCTCTGCCAGCTTCTCTAAATATTTTTTTCACTTTTCACTGTCTTGTTTTTTAAATATAAGCTTTTAAATGAAGATTTTGCAGAAAGAACTGGGCAACAATGGGAAAGCAGTAACTCAAATTTCCTTCTTTTATTTAAAACAAAACAATGCCTGAAGGGCTTCTGCAAGCTTGGGCAAAAGAAAAAATTCCAGTGACTTGGACTAATAATTTGCTTTTGAGTACATGGACTGCGGTATTTTACTTTAAAAGAACCTAGCCAATTTGATGTTGAATTTTAAAACTGAATTTAAAGTCATTTTGGGCATAGAATCCTGTCCCAGTGTCTCTGTGCTATGGCTTACAACTGAATTTTTCTTTAGGAAATAGGATGCTTCTCCTCTCTCTCTCTCTCTCTCTTTCACACTCTGTCTTTCTGTGGCAATCTGACAATCCCCAGGAGCAAAAAGGAAATTCATTAAAAATATTGCTGCATATGAGAAACATTGAAGTTGTCAGAGCATAAAATAAACAATGTTGGAAACTTGTGTTTAATTTTCTTTAATAACAATGGATAAAAGTTCAGATTGATTTGTTTGGTTTTAGGTTGATAATATGCCTTTGAAATTGATGCTTTTCCTAGCTCTTGTGTTTATATAAACTCTGAGTTTATAGATCCAAAGGTCAGTTTTGTGTTGAAATAGTGATTATTGGCATGTTGCAGCAATCTGTTTGAAAAGTCTCCAGTTGGAGCAACTCATACTTCAAATTATCCAAACTGCTTTTAGAACAAGTAATTAATTTTATTAATATATGTAACATTAATTTATTCAGTTATTCATTTGATATTGTAAGTAGGGAACATGAGTGGTGCACTAGAAAATAATGCCAGAAAAAAGGATTATAATTTCAGTGGATAGAAACTGATCCACAGGCTTTCATGCTGGGAAACAACTATCTCAGGAAACAAACAGAGCAGCAGACACAATCTATTTCCTTTATAAGAAAAAAACTCAAGGCTTCAGCACAGCTTTTGAAAATAATAGTACAAATAACTTGCTGGGCTGTGACTGATAAAAATTTTAACAACTGTCTCGCTCAGTTGTGTGTTTTTTCCTACCCTGCAGGCAACCGTAGGAGTATATACAAACTGGAAAAAGAGGAGAGCATTCCTGATGGGATGTGCATTGATACAGAAGGCAAACTTTGGGTAGCTTGTTATAATGGTGGGAGAGTGATTCGTCTTGACCCTGAGACAGGTAAGCCCTTGCAAAACGTGGACTGGAACTTTGTGTTCAATAAAAAAAAAAAAAAAAGAAGAAATAAAAGCAAAGAATGAGAGGATTTCCCCCCCCTCACAGAAATGATATATCTGCTCTTTTTAAAAACAGTACTTTTTTTTAATTATTATTTTAAACAATTTCATGCCCCTGCTCTCAAAAATTACCTTTGTAAATAAGTCTTCTTTGTTCCCAGCATCTGTTGTGTTGGAAAAGGTAAAGTTGCTAAGGAGATCATCATTATACTTGTGAGTTGTTTGAATTGACATTCTCTTACATCCTCCAAACTTTAGACCAGTGTTTACTTCATCGATAAATGATGTAAATGAGTAAGCCATGAAATATCAAAGATGACTAAGCCATTTTTGAGCCTTGTTTCTTCAGCATATTATATTATTTTGGATGGCCTACTGAGTTTAATACAATTCCCACATGACACTGATGCCAACAATATCTTTTTTATTGTTGAAAATAATTAAAAATATTTCATTAATTCCACAGCATTTTGTCATTCACATAGTAACATCTTGAGTGTGCCCATTATCTGAGCCTGTTGTTCAGTCCTACTCTCATTTGGACTTTAGTGGCGTGCCAGAGATGATTTACTATGGGTAAAAAACATGTAAAGCACTTAAGGGAAGCTGAACCCCATTGCCTGCAAGGGGGTAGTGGGTGAGAATAGGAGTGTGATTTTGACAGATCCCAGGAAACACAAGTTTGCATAATGCAGCAGAGAAGCAACTGCGCTGAGCTGCATCTGGAGTCTAGTAGAAGGCTTAATGTTTTGTGGGGCTGCAGATTGAGGGGTGCCAGTGTCCCTTGATGCATTCTGCCTCTGCAGTGCACAGAGGCACTGGCACATGTGCACCAGGCGGGTCAGGCTGCAGCCTCACTTCTGACTCTACTGGAAGCTCTTACTTGAGTCTCAGGCTGTGATTTCCCCGTCACCTTTTGATCTCTATCCATGCAAGGTCCTGCCAACCTGCTTGACTTCTGTTCTGCAGAGTCTGTACCCCAGCTTTAGGAAAATGAAGCTCCAGCTGGGAGATATCAGCAGCTCTGCGACTCGTTTCTGGTCCCACATCCTTCCCCTTTGGTGGGCAGAGTACTCCTTGGTGACATCCACCAGCCCTCTGAGTACCCTCCTGAAGCAGTCGACTCTCTCATTTTTCCTCTCTGGTTCACTGTTTCTGTCTTCTTCCTCGCTGGCCTTCACCTTCTTCCTTTTTTCACTTGTTTTTCTTCTCCATTTTGGAGGTGTTTTCTTATGGGAAAGCTAGAGGGAACAGTGGCCATAAGCAAACGCATAGGGATACTAAGAATATTGACAGCAGAGTACATACCCCTAGTGCACTCCCAGTCTCTAATTATGCTCACAGCTGGATGAAATACTGACGTGTTGATAAGTACCAGTGCATTTCTCTTCTGTGAACCTGTCTGTCTCCCCTCACCCATGTAAAACTCATAACATCTTCAGAGAATAGCAGTACAAAGTTTCACAGGTTCAGTGTCCATGCCAAAAAGAGCCACCTTTTTCATGGATATCCCATGCTTACCTGCCCTCTCATGCTGTCGTTTTAAAGTGATTTCTAAAAATCTGCAATTTGCTGAATTCTGAATGAATTGTAATTATTTAGGGAGATACCCAAGACATGTATGAAGAGAATTCCATGAAAGCCGCTCTTTGAATGCAAAAGAGCTATTAAGTGTGGCTTGAATGGCTGACAGCTTGTTGCAGATATATCTAATGATAAAGAGCTCATCTAAAACACATGAGGGATTTTCAAGTTTTAGCGATGTTAAAGCCTTGGGAGGTTTTTTGGGAGATGGGGTGAGGAAACTTGTTTGTTTGGCATCTTTACCTAAGTGAAGGTTTTGAGGTTCAGGGTGAAGCAGCTTTTCAGGTCTAGGCTTCTTTAGCATAGGTGGTTGCTGCCTTTAGATTCAGGATATGCTACAGGGAAAGACTGTGGTGGCTGATCCCACTAAGTTTGCAAAGGGCTCAGAAAGGATGTCTAACTTGTATGTGGCAAGCCTTGTCATACCTTTTGGTGACCTGCTATTCTTATGCAGTCATGTCTTTTAATTAGAATCCTAGAATCATTAAGGTTGGAAAAGACCTCTAAGATCATTGAGTCCAACCATTAACTCAGCACTGCCAAGTCCACCACTAGACGATGTCTCTAAGCACCACATCTACATCTTTGAACATTTCAGGGAACATGAGATTAGCTCAGTTGGTTAGAGTATGCTGCTAAATAATGCCAAGGTTACAGGTTTGATCCCCACAGAGGCCATTCACTTAAGAGTTGGACTTGATGGTTCTTGTGGGTTCCTTCCAATTCAGAATACTCTTGTGACTCTATGATCATTCCACCACTTTCCTGGGCAGCCTGTTCCAGTGCTTGACAACCCTTTCAGTGAAGAAATTTTTTCTAATATCAGTTTAAACCAAATATTTTACAGTTCTTTCTAGTGAATGTTTTTAGTATCCTTTGAATTTTAGCGTCTAAAAGATTTGCTAAGTTTGTCTCTTCTGTAGATACTAAGCACAAAGGAATATTTCAGGTAGATAGTAGAGCATCCAGGTGCAGATTTTCTTGAATCTCCAGGGAGACATTGCTCATCTCAGAGCTTTGTAAATTATATCTTCCAGGCTGTTATCCATTGAGACACATCAGGGTCTCTCCCCTTGTCTTTGGGGCTCATGCCTCTTCTCTCACAGTCCATGTTTTTTTCCCTTTGAATGCACTTCCCACCCATTTTCTCCCAGAACTGGGGTCAGCCAATTTCTAGGGTTCCCAACATACATCAAAGTTACTATTTCAACACATCAGTAAAGTTAGTTACTGTAAGGGGACCAAGCCCTTTATATATGCAGTTGGGGGAGCAGAGAAATTACAGGTTTTGTAAGGAGATTCATGTGCTCTAGCGTATTTCTAGAAAGAGAAATTCAATGCTAGGTAAATAAAATAAATTTGATGGGAATAAGCATTCCAGGATTAGCAAGAATTTTAGAAAAATCTGCTGTAAGGTGTCTTGACAACCTTCTGGTTAGGGCTGGAGGCAGTCTGTTCACTACCACTGTAATTAAGACAGTAGCTATTTGTTGATGTAATAAATGAGTAATATTAGTTATGGTAGCACTAGTTTCTTCTAAACTTCAGACGTGTCCCATGATCCTTATTTTATGCAAGCTTGATTTGAAAGGCTATTGAAATTTCAGGAAAAAGTTCTAGGAATTAATCTTCCTTGACTGCAGGCACTAGAGGTGTAGCAGGAGGTACGCCTCCGCAATGCTGCACGAGGTCTACTCCCTCCAGGCTGCCTTTGTAATTAAAAGTAGAAAAGTCAGCAGGTCTAGGGTGTGATTCATGTGACCTGTTTTAGAGAGGAATTTTATCTCATTTCCATTGACTCCTTGGGCAGTCTAGGTGACGAGCTCAGATGCACTGGACGTTTGTGTTTAACTAGAGGACAGACTGGGATTGGGGTGGGATTTGTTTGTGATAACTGAGATTTCTGAAATGATACATCATCAGTGACTTTGTCACAGAAGTCTGGTTTCTTCCTTGTTGTGGTGCTCTGTCAGTATGCTGAAAGTCAGCGTGGGTCCTCCCCCTGCCCTGGTTCCCACTTCTGAGGAACACTTGGCTCCACAAAGGTTATTCGCAATAATTTGTTTAAATTTCTTGTTATAAGTAGACAAACAGGAAACATCATGCATGTTTTCCTCCAGGGAAAAGACTCCAGACTGTGAAACTTCCAGTTGACAAAACAACTTCGTGCTGTTTTGGAGGAAAGGATTATTCAGAAATGTATGTGACTTCTGCCAGTGATGGGATGGATAAAGAGTGGCTTTCACGACAGCCACAGGCTGGTGGGATTTTCAAGGTGAATGATGCTTTTTTTCTGTAATTTTAGATTGTAATTTTTTTGCTCCTGTATTTTTCAGGTAGCAAGCCACTTGGAGTGGTAGGAAGCAGGAAAAGGGCGGTTGTTTGATGATTGATCATATATGTTAAACTATTGTTTGTATTTTTAGTTCCTGTTGCAGTATGAGGAAGTTAAATGCATTTAGAGATTTGAAAATAGTTTTGGGTTTAAACTTTGTAACAATGCTGATAGTGTAAATTTTCTGTGCCATCACCTCTTTATCACTATCTCAACACTGTTTGCATTTTCTATTTGTTGTGGAAAGAATGGGTAAATACTCATGTGTCTTAATCAATGACAGATCCACTTCTATTTACTTTCTCATTAATTATAACTAAATTACCTCTTAAAAAATTTGTTACCTTGGGATTTGTTTTAAAGCCCTACTCTTCTCTGTGTGCATGCTGAAGGTTACATTGTGAACTGCAGAATTAAGGCTTAGTAGTATCTAAGAGAAGAGGCCTTTGGGGGATGGACTCTGACCTGAGATTATTGAGCTTTAGAGAAAGAGCATGTGTTGAAATTCCTGGCTGTGATGTGCTGATGTGTGCAAAATAAAATAGGAGGGCAAATTAGAGTACACAGTCCTTTTCAAATTAAAGCATGTCCAGTTGTGCAAGGAAAGCAAGTGTCTGATAACGGTGGATTATTACTCTAATATTTTTTTCTCTCTGTTTTAATAGATAACAGGACTGGGGGTGAAAGGAGTCCCACCATATCCATTTGCAGGTTAAATACACACTCTTCAGAATGTATTAGAGAAGACCGATGTACACAGGACAAGTCTGAAGGTCTTATTCTGGTGTTCAGCATCTTTTGCTTTGAAACCATAACACCATTATAATAGTTCATCAAGAAAGCATGAAAAACTACTGAAATGCATGGAATATTTTAAAACTGATCTTTTCTCTCCCTTTAAATTTACTTTAAATATGTGATGGTACTTTTTCCTGTTGTGCTAAAAAGATTCGTATCCTAATAAGCTTCTATTGTAATTCTATTTTATGATTAAAAATATTTTAATATCGTTTAGTTGTTTATTCTTCCATCTCATTTGCAACTTATGCTATATTGATTTCTTGATTGTACAAGACACTTGTACTGTCTCTTTTACATATTTTTGAAGTTGCTTATAGAATCCCCTTTGGTGGTCTTAGCACTGCTTTAAATGTAACTTCATTTGTCCCATGATATTCTTAACAACTGAAACATTAATACCTGTCACTGTGCATCTGCAGCTTTCTTCTTAGAGCCCTCAGCTGTGGCTGTGCTTAAATTAACTCAGTCTGGAACTGATCACCATCTCTTCCCAGCGCATGTCACTATGTTGCTCATTTTGTTAACTATAAACCCAGGCTTGGGGTGAAGAACCATATCTTTGTCCATCCTTTGAAGATCTCAGCCTATTCTGGGGAGATCCATGATGACAGGAAAACGTTAAGCACTCATGACCATTTGTGCATAAATCTGCATATACCTCCTCCTGAACCAAACTCCCCCAGAGCACCCAGAGAAGCAAGGTGGGCCCGTGTGCCCAAATGGCCACTGTTTCAAATGTGGAGGGAAAGGAAAAGGAAGTTTTATTACAAATTCTTCACAGCACCTGTTGTAAATGAAAGGTTTATTTACTGGATTGCTTTTTTGCTGGTAACTTCAGGCCTATGTGTGCTTTAACTTGTGATGTATCTCAGTCAGAAATTAAACTGGATTTTTGCTCTGTGCCCATCCATCTGTGAGAGAGTAACCCAGCAACTGACTGCCAAGAGGGCCAGTGGCTGTGTGTTTTCTCTCCTGGTAGCTCCAAGAATCAGCACACCATGGTTTGCCACTGCATCTCTGCAGGCCTTGGAGTTTGAGTTAGCTTCTGATGGATGGGCTTGCCTGCTGTGCCCTCGAGTGTGCAGTGGGTGACTCAACTGCCTGGCCCCTGGGTCACACTGAGGCCTTGGTGTTCAAAGGTGACTTTGTGCACGTCACTGTTTCCCATCTTGAAACACTGCAGGGGAATGTCTCAGCAGCTGGGAAAAAAAGAGATTTAAGCAGCCCCACTTCAGGGTAGATGAGTGTGAGACAGTGCAGGAAGCAGGGGCTTGTTCTTTGGAGTGTCCACCATCCTTCATTTACTTTGCACTACAAGGCAATCTCAAAGCACGTTATTGAGAAAGTTTGAGTTGAGGATGATTATGAATGTGGCAATTTTAGGACTCTGATCTCACTGAAGTGATGAACCCTGAGATAACTGCAGCTCAGGAACCGTGCTGAAGGGCTGCTGTGGTTGATGGCTAATGGAGATCTGGAAATGCAGCAGAAAATAAGTGGGCATAAACACAGATAAGCTCCCTCTGCTGTCACTATTGAAGTTTTGTACCTGTGCTCACCATCACACCATCGCAGTGGCAGTAGGGTGATTGCCAGCACAACACAAAAAAAAATGCCGATTTTTTTTTTTCTGTTGCTGTTGCTACACTAGAAAAGTAAGAGCAATAGCTTGTACAGGCATGAAAGATTTGGTCAAAGATTAGTTTATCACAGCTGGTCAAGAGGCACCCATGAAACACAGGGAGGATATGGCTGCTGGAATCCCTCATCCATGCCATCTGTGAGTGGGTGGCACTGGGCAAACATCTGAATAACACGTCTCTGTGCATGGGAGCAGAGGCAGGTAAAATAAGCTGCTGCAGACACTTTACAAATGAATGCCACCTCCCCCTTCTGCAAAATCACCTGCTTCGCTTTGCTATGCTGGTTTCCTATGCTTCACATGGGCAGGAAGAGCCAACTCTGCCAGGAGAGTTGTATTTTTAATGTTGCCGAAATGCCCTGGGAGCGCGTCTCAACGCAGCCTCCAGTGCAGAGGCTGTAGCTGCTTTCCACGCCCCAGCCCCAAGGAGCCCAAACTGGTGCTGCTGGCATATTTTGAGTCCCATGACAGAGCACTGGATCTGGCAAACTGAGCGGTTGCTGGTTCCCTCAATTAGGAAGGCTTCCTCACTTTTGTTTAATCCCTTGCTTATTAATGGCGCTCACCTCTTTGATCAAAGACCAGCACTGATTTCAATTAGGGTTGAGCAAGAACCCAGTGACAGGAAAGGCTGTATCAGGAGGAGCAGCTGCTGTGCCCTGAAGGATTTTTTCACCCTCATGACCAAAATCTATAGTCATAGGTGAAACGTAGTTATTCCCAACCAAGGTGGAGAAAGCTCATGTAATCCTTTGCTGGCAAAATAGCTCTGCTGAAATAAAAGCAGGCGGCACTGACTGCCTGGGGAGCTCCAGTTCTTCCCATCTTGAGCACAGGGGAGGGACCAGACCCTTCCTACAAAAGGGTGAAGCCAGGAAGAGATAAGCCTTGGCTTCACTTTTGAACAACACTGTTGAGTGGGGTATCGCTGGGGTGAGTAGCTATACCTGTATCTGCCTGGGGTTTTTAATAGCTGTGTCTTCATTAACTCTAACCATGTCTGTTGTCATCTCCAAGAGGGAGGATGACTGTCTAGGTACATAAAAACTGTAAGAGATCGGGACAATTGAATAACAAACAAAGTCAAGTTTCTAGACTACTGAAAGATGGGATGGACCCTCAAGGGGAATAAGCAGCACAAGTATATTTTGGGGAGCTGTGGGGGAAAAAGGGGGAGCAATGGATTTACTAGATATTTGCAAAGCCACGGGAACAAATTCTGAGCTATTATCTGAGCACATGCCTGTGGGTAACAAGACAAATACAGTTACTTAAATACCACATTATGTGTTGTGCTAATATCCTGATGTGCTCTCCCAACTACTCTATGTTGATAAAAACTAGGGACTATAAAAAGAAGCCATAAGAGTTGCATCAGAGGAGATCAGAGCAGTGGGAGAGAGGAAGCTACCCCAGAAGGAGACAATGCAGGGGGGTGTCAGCCAGTGGTACAGGGATGCTCGGCTGCCTTTGGCCAACTTCACTAGAAACTTCTGCTTTGTAAACCAGCAACGCTAGAAACAAACAAAGTGCATGGCAGGACCAGGCTCTTTATGTTGTGGAAACAATTAATAGAATAGCTGGCTGCCTAGCAAATATATGCATCTGCTACTGCAGAGTTGCACCACTCATCAACAACATCCACAAAGTCTTTGAGATGTGTCTCCTCCTAAAGTGACCAACTTCTGGAAAGGCAAACAAGACATTGCCATTCTGCAGCATCCATGGCATTTGCCATGGATGGTAAAAGTCCTTCTGCATGTGTGCTACAGGCAGCAGTTTGGAGCTCTTTGATGCTGTGGGATCAGCCTTTGCACGTTCAAGGTGAGGAGCTCTGCAAGGAGAGCAGGTGACTTCACGCACAAGAAGGTTGTGGCATAGATGGGAGTAGGAGCCAAGTCTTAATGATGCTAATAAGCCCTAATCACAAGAATATTTTTTTTTTTATCACTCAGAGTACTACAAAACCCTCCCCTGCATCTTTTGTTAACCTTCCCTTTTATCACCCTAAATTTGGGAAGACTGGGCTAGCCCTTGGGGCAACTGAATGGTGCAATGCCTCAGTTTTCCTCTCTTACTCTCCTGACATGAGAAAAATACTGAGCAAGGATTTTTTCCTATCACATGTCCTGCTGCTGGCACTGCAAACCAGACCATTCAGAAGGGCTTTGGTCCCTGCCTCATCATTCATGTGACTGCTGACTGAATACAAAATGTAAAAGGTTACCTGCTCCATGCAGATAACATCAACTGTTGCACATTTTTAACCGTCGCTGAAAACAGCAGCCAGTTTCATTGGACCAGTGCTGGAAAAGAGTCACCAACTCAGGTCTTGCAATATTGTCCTCAGCAGGTGCGTTGATGTGATGAACTGCAGTTTCGCATAGGTGTCCTCCAGCTTGGTAAAAATATTCATCTGCTTGACTGAGGGGAAAAGGGTTCTTAAAATTCTTTGGTTTATGCAGATAATTGTTTGTATATTAAAAGTTTTAGCTGTCTGCCTGCTTATTCAAACTTCTGCTTGTCATGAAAAATGAAATGTGTGTTTGCACGGGGGGAGAGCGGGAGGGAAACAGCAAAGAAATGTTTTAAGGCCAGTCATTAATTTGTACTTTACCTATGTCTTTTTGGGGATACTGAAATGACCAATTTTTGTCCAGATCATTTGGAAAGAGATGTGGACTGAGGTTAGAAAGGCTATTTTCTAATAGCTACCAGAGAGAGGATTTAGTTTGTAGAGCAGACAGGATGTTTTTACATTAGTTTTTCATTTCTAACAGGAAATTTTTCTTGTGGTCTCCAAATTCTGGTAACTTTAAACAGTTTAACTTGGAAAATGTTTCAGTGACACCCGTCAGCCCCTTAGTCTCCATAAGGGGTTTAGGCATGAGTCCAGGAGGCTGTAAAGCCAACAAAATATTGGAGAGAGGATATAGGCAGGGTGAATGTGACATGCTTTTCTGCAGGGATTTTGTTTCTGGAGAATATGGTGGGATTTGATCCTTTTTGATTGGAATTTCTCTTGTCTTTCCTTGCATGCTCATCTCTGATGGGTTAATGTTGTGCCAAGCAGGGTGTGAGGTGCCACAGAAAAAGGTGCCAGGTGGCAGGATGCCTGGGGAGCGATTACACTGGGATGTTTTGAACCAGGGTTTTTGGGGTCATTACCTCATTTTTCCCTCTGAGATGATGTATTTGGTGAAATGCTGCTGCTTCTGCTGCGAAGTTCCATAGGGTGCTGACAGAGAGGGTTCGACAGGAGGTGTACCACTGGGTGGAAGGGGGACACAGGTAGGATGAGACCAGGGCTGCCAGTTTGTGGGGACTCTTCTGGAGGGCAGTGCTGCCTTTTACGGTATGACGACCCTTCCTGTTAAAAACCTCCATTTTCATCTGCTTGTAAAAACTAGTGAAGCCTCAGCCAGCAAAGCACAAGTCTTCCCTTCCAATTGCCCTCTTCTTAAAAAAGGGGAGGGCTGATGATTATTTGAACCAAAATATTCATCAGTGTGAAAAACTCCACAGCTGGAGTAACACACAGGAGCTATTTCTTCGGTGAAGGGGATAGATGCTGAAGCTGAATGTGCAGACGGGGAAGGAGGACACACACTGAGGCTCTGTGGGACAGGGCAGGTCTCCACAGCATTACTGGGGGGACATGAGAGGGGTGAGCAGACAGCTGGTGCAGGTAGATTGGTTTCTCCCCTGACTGTGCCTTGTGAAACAGTTGACAATAGTGTGATTGTGTACTCCTCATGTGGCATGTGGGATGGGCTGTGAATCAGTATTTCACCACAGCTTATCTGCCAGGCCCCTATTTTGGTGTTACGGAAGTTGGAGAAGGAGGATGTAAATGAAACAGGAGCTGGTGAGAAAAGAAAGCTTTAATAAGGCTTGGTTGGGTCAATGAAACAATGGCCAAGACAAATACACACTGGCTGCTGCAGATCTGGAGGCTTTCTGCCTCTGCAGGAACTGCACTGCTGCCGGGCTGCTGCTGAATGCCATTTTCCCACAGGGGTGGGAGCAACTCCGTGTTTTCCAAGTCATGATATAATAAAGTCAGCATTGTGTCTCCAAGCCTCGGGTCCCACATATGGCAGCCACATGACACAAAGCTTTAACCGAAGAGAAACTCACTCCGCCAGCTTGAGCATGGTTTAACAGGTTTAAGGAGGTTAAAACCTGGCATCTTATTATATATCCTCATCTATACTTTAGACTGATGCTGTTTGCCTGTGTGGAGTAGCTTGCTGCCCGGACTCTTGTGGCCAGGTTTTTTGGAAGGGAGTGGGATATAGTTGATAGATGGGTCGATTGAACCTTACCTTGGTGGTGTGACTCATTTCAGGAAAGATCCTGTGCCCCAGCCCTGGCATTTCCACTCACAGTGATTGACTGGCTCTTCCTACATATTTTGAAGTGCATTAGTGCTAATTAATTATCTGTAAACCTTATCACCAGCTCACCTACTAGGAAACAATGCCTGCTTGAATACAGTAATCCCTAGGACTAATGTTATGTCAGGGATTGGCTGCCTCCCAAGAAATATCTCCCCAGTCTGTGGAAAAAATGTGCTGAGGCTGGTGGGTGCTGGTGGGGTGCGGCTCCATTAGCTTTAGCGGTGACTGAGGCAGCGAGTGGGCCTCTTTCTTTTGTAAGAGCTGAATGGTGGAGGATATTGCTCACATCCCACTCCACAGCAAGGGCAGGGCAAGCCCAGGATCCCTATTTTGGAGGGCATCAGTGGGCTCTGGACACAAACCTGATGGATTGTGCACCCCATGCCAGGGCTATGGCTGTGTCCCTGTGGGCACCCTGCTGCAATGGGGACAGGGGGATGGGGTAGTTAGGGCATGAACAACTCCTGGCAGAAGCAGATGCATGGAATGAGAGGTTCACTGGCGTCTTTGCCCCCAGAGCAGCAACTGGGGTAATTACACCCCGCAGCCTGGCATGGGGCGAAATTCAGATTCTGTGGCAGGGGTTGGAGATGAAGCGGGGGTGGTGAGGGGGCTGATGAAGATGAAATGCTTAGAGAGAAAGCAAAACAGTAGGATTTCAAAGGCAGGAGATTTCCTCAGTGTTTGCATATTCACACTGACTTGGTGTGGGAAGAGGCACCTGGTCTGGCCCTCGTGGCAGACAGCAGTCGGTATTACGGGTACATATATGTCTTCCTGTGGAGAAAGCCAGTGCATCTGCATTGGTAAGGCAGAGCCTTGTTTTCTCACAAAAAGACTTCTGACTCGTTTGTGCTGCTCCCTGTGGTCTGGGGGACCCTTGGGACCACTGATCCCCAGACAACAGCTGGGTGCCAGCTCAGGGCCATGGCCCAGCACTCCCTTGCCTGGAGGCAGGTGCTTCATCAGCAGCTGTGGTTTAGGAAAGTTTTGCTAAGGAGAAGCTTTGGTGTCTTGAGCTCATTTCTAGCCATGAGGCCATGGAAATGCCATAGGAACCTCCTAAATTACTCTGTCATGTGGGATTTGGAGTGCTTTGCCATTTACAAACTCTGCTTTTAAGCATAAACATGACAGCTTTTCATTAAATCCATTATTAACTCTCTTCCCCTCAGACCATGTCCTCCTCCATCAAAATCGAATCTGTCGTGAAGGAGAAGAACCGGATGGGAGAGTGCCCGGTCTGGGAAGAAAGGGAGAACGCACTTGTCTATGTAGACATTAACTCACAGAAAGTTTGCCGCTGGAGCCCAATCACCAATGAGGTGCAGAGCGTGTCTGTGGGTAAGAGTCTGTACTCACTTCATTCTGGGAGTCACTCTGCCCCATCCATCCCTCCTGGTAGGAGTCCTGCAGCATAGTGGTGTCCCTTACTTTCCATGGGGCCACATGCCCTGTCCTCCCACAGCGTGTTGCTGAGCACGGTGTGGCCCAAGCCAGCTGAGCAGAGGGGAGTGTGCTCAGGTGTGGAGGACCATGTGCGTGTTGCCCTTGATAAGCCTAAATGGGAATGCATGTCTCATTTGGGACCTGCAGAGCCAGACATACAGTCCTAATGACTGTGTCTGCCCAGAAAGTGGGAAAATCTTTGGAACACAGAGCTAGTGAGATGTGCTAATGATCTCAGGGGAGAAGGATCTTAGCATCAACTCAGCCTTTCCCAGGTCAGGGATGTCCCAGTGAAGCCCAGATACCCTCGGTGAGTGCTGACCGATGGCCTCAGAGCTACCTGTCATCTTCTGCTCCCTCTCACCCACAGATGCCCGTGTTGGCTCGGTGGCACTGCGGCAGTGTGGGGGCTACGTTATTGCCCTGGGAACCAGGTTTGCCTTTCTGGACTGGGACACCCAGGCAGTCACCACCATCCTTGAGCTCGAGCAGGATAAACCCAACAACAGGTTCAATGATGGGAAAGTGGATCCAAAGGGGAGGTTTTTTGCTGGTAAGTTCCTGGCAGAAATTTCCCCCAGAGCAAAGGGAAACTTATTACAGTGTATTTTATATAATGTATTTTATTCTTTGTTATTGATTCCTCAGTTGAGTTCCCTACAAAACCCACTGTCACAAGCATGAGCCATTTTGTGAACGCTCTGCTCAGTTACTGCCTGATGAAGGAGGACAAGGGACCCAGCATTCTCTGACCTAAAGGAGGAGAGAGGCTGTTGGCAAGAGCCATCCAACAGGAAGGCTCTGCTACTTGGTGGATGATGTTTGTCAGACACCTACCTCTGTAGAAGGTGAAAAGCCAGTGAAAGGCTCATGTAGGTGGGAAGTTTTCTGGTGGTATAGAGAGGGATGCAGCTTCAGCCTGGAGAAGAGGAGACTGAGGGGAGACCTCACCGCAGTCTACAACTTCCTTGTGAGAGGAAGAGGAGGGGCAGGCACTGATCTCTTTTCTGCAGTGACCAGTGACAGAACACAAGGGAATGGCCTGAACTTGTGTCAGAGGAGGTTTAGGTTGGATATTAGAAAAGGGTTCTTCACCCAGAGGATGGTTGGGCATTGGAACAGGTTCCCCAGGGAAGTGGTCACAGCACCAAGCCTGACAGAGTTCAAGAAGCATTTGAATGATACTCTCAGGCACATGGTGTGATTCTTGAGGATGGTCCTGTGCAGGACCAGGAGTTGGACTCGATGATCCTTGTGGGTCCCTTCCAACTCAGCATATTCTGTGATTCTAGAACAGAACATGAGCTGCAGCTTGCATCCTTCACATGCAGCCTCTCCCAGTTAGCCTGTGGGAAACAGGGATGTGGGGAGAGATCCTCAGCCTCCTGAAGGGTTGGGTATTACAAAAAGCATCTTTAACCCAGAGGATGGTCAAGCACTGGAACAGGCTCCCCACTGGTCATGGTCCCAAGCCTGCCAGAGTTCAAGGAGTGCTTGGACATCGCTTTCGGGCACATGGTGTACACCTGTATTTTATGATCATAGACCATTTAAATGATGAAAGTGGCTTACAAAGAGCAACAGCAAAAAAGAGCACATGATGCTTGCCTGCATCTTAGCTTGTACTGTGAGCAGAACCTGAACCCCTGGTGTGTCATGGTGCTCCTTTGGGTCTTTGGTGTCTGTGACTTAAACCTCATGGCAGTGCAGAAACTCATCCTTTCACTGGCCAGGATCAGCTCTGTGGGAGGCATCTGCTTCTGATGTGTTCCTTTTCCTCCTTCTCATCAACCTCTCAGGGCCTGATTAGACCCTTCATCATAGAACTGTAAAATTGTAGAATCTTGTAATGGTTTGGGTTAAACAGGATCTTAAAGACCATTTAGTTCCATAAAGACCACCTAGTTCCAACCTCCCTGCCATGGGCAGGGACACCTTCTACTAGACCAGGCTGCTCAAAGCCCAGTCTAACTTGACCTTGAACGCTGCCAGGCATGGGGAATCCACACCTTCTCTGGTCAACCTCTTCCAGTGTCTCACCACCCTCACAGCAAAGAATTTCTTCCTAAAAATATTTTCTTTTTAGGAAGAATAAAAAAATCACAATGCTGTGATTCTCCCTAGGACCTCTTGGTAACAGTCAGAGGAGTGTTTTGATTAAACACGATGAACAAGCTTCTGCTTTCTTCTAACTGTGCTCCATTTCCATTTCAGGTACGATGGCTGAAGAGACAGCACCAGGCGTCCGAGCGAGGCGGCAGGGGGCTCTCTATACCCTTTTCCCTGACCATTCCGTAATAAAACAGTTAGACCAGCTGGACATCTCCAATGGTCTGGATTGGTCCCTGGACCACAGGACCTTCTTTCACATTGACAGCCTGACATACGCTGTCCATGCCTTCAGCTATGATGTGCACACTGGAAAGATTGGTACACGTGCTTTTTAAATTTGGTGACAAGTAGCTCTATTGCTCTTTCTGCAGCAAGACCTGGGCCTGTGAGGTGTGGTTATTTATTTGACAGATCTCATATCTTCTGCTTACAACTTGTCAGTAGGCTGACTGTGGTATCTCTCAAATTTAGCTACTTATCAGGTGTATTTGGTTAACAAACTTTTACCAGTCCTTCAGCTTACTTTCATCTGGAGAGATGGCTCATATTTAGACCCATTCAAGGAGTTCTAGGGAACAAGTCATTTATACTCCGGAATGAGAGGGTTTGCAGGATGCTATTTACTCTTGAGTGCCATCTACTGGAACACTTTGGTTGTACTAGCTCCATAAATATAGATGGAGAATGTGCATGCATATATATCACAGAAAGGTATTTGGAGGATCAAGTTATCATTGTGACTGAGGTTTCCCAATTCTGAAATTAAAATTGCCTTCAGATGTTGGCAAATTTCACTTAAATTCACTTTCTGGGTAAACATTTTTTATTATATCCGCAAAAAGGAAAATTTAGGTGCAAGAATAATGGATATAACTTCATTTCAAAACTCTGTGAAATACTTCTGTGCAGTATCAGCCTGATATACTCCATGCGAATTTAAAAGGCTGAACTACCTTTGTACTCTAATGAGTGTAGACTTTGTGTAATCACGGCTGAAAATTACACAAAATAACTACATTCACTCAGATTTCACTTTGCTGAGAACATCTGTTCCTACAGATTTTTAAGATATAACATTTCTAAAGAAGATTTTATGCAACTTTCCCTGCTGAAAATACAAAAATGTAATGTGTTTGAGCTTCCTAGCCTTAGCTAGGCTTGTGACTGTCTCTTTTTGGGTGGTGATAGCCAGAAGGTGCTGGGTCAGTGCAGGTGGTCCACTGCCCACGGGCCCTGCTCCATGGACCATGCGCGTGCCCTCCAATCCATCTGCACTGCATCCTAGGCCACTAGCAGCTGGCATCCAGTCTTAATCAAAACTGGTTGCTTGGTTGGCCATTAAAAAGTGAAGTTCTTGATCTTTAGCTGGGACCAATGGCTTATCACCAATGTTTAAACCCATGTCATTATTTATGTGACATATCCAGGCTACCATGACCAATGAAAGTCCAGGAAAAATTATCGCACTGGCAGCACTCATGTTGTGGCAGATAGCAAGTGGGTTCACAAGGGAGATGGGGGCATTTTGTTCTTCTCTTGGTAAAATAATAGGAGCCCTAATTCAGTACAATCCCAAACTGCAATGGCTTTGCTGGGGGCTTGTTTCTGCCTAAGAAAGGCTAAGTCTGGCTCCTAACAGTCTGCAAAATGCATATGTGATGTACATTTTGCAGAATGTCTTTCTCACGGAAAATGAATTTAGCTGTTTGCAAGAGCATGGAAGATGTTAGACTGGAATCTGATACAGAATCAGTAGCAGCCCACATAACACCAGCTTTGTATCTCTTCCCACAGCCTGCCCCAAACTTTTGTACCATCTGGAAAAGGAGGAGCAAATGCCTGATGGGATGTGCATAGATGCAGAAGGGAAGCTCTGGGTGGCCTGTATTGATGGCGGCAGAGTCATTCGTATAGACCCAGAGACCGGTAAGACTTCCACCAGCATGTGCATATGAACATGAGAGGAATGGCAGCCAGGAAGAATGGTTTGGAGGCGAGATAAGAAGGTGTAATTTATTGCCCATTTCTGCCCCATGGGTTGCCAAGAACATTCCTGGTTCAGTCCCCGATCATGTAAAGACTGCAGCTCCCTGTGCTGCCTCCCAGTGCCAGGTACCCTTGCTCCCATGGTTTGCTGATGTGCAGCACGCACTGTTCTTAATAATATAGCTAAATAAAAAGTGTACTGCATATCTACTGCAATTAAAAAAAAATCTTAGTGTTGTTTAACTGAATGTTTAACTAGGAAATGCTGTTAAGGAATGAATGATGGCCATCCTAGATCATGTGTTCCTGCCCTTCCTGGCCTCACATACTGTATTGCTGCATTTTGAGAAATGGAAGTGAAGCCCCACAGCTCCACAGGGGGAGAGCCTGAAATTTAGTTAGAGATGAGGCAGATGAATGAATTTGATATCCCCACAAACTATCCTTTAGAATATGGTTTCTGTCTGAAGGGGAGATGCCTTCTGGGTAAGTCCCACATCTGTGCCATGCACAGTACATTCATAATTACGTTCATAGTACATTCGTAATTACATGCTTCCTAGAAAATGGACATTAGAAAACAATTGTATGTTTTTCCCAGGAAAAAGAATTCAAACTGTGAGGCTGCCTACTCCAAGGATCACCTCTTGCTGCTTTGGTGGAAAAGACTACTCAGAAATGTACGTGACTTCTGCATACGATGGACTGGACGAGGCCACCTTAGCTAAGGAACCTCATGCAGGAGAGATTTTCAAGGTGAGCAGATTTTATTTCTTTCTTTCTATACATCGGACCTGCCAAACCTCATATTCTGAGAGTGTGTTGGTGTTCACCAAGCTCACATTTGTCTTGAATGGGCAAAGCATATTAAAAATTACTATGACTTGTTTTAGGAAAAAAGGACCACATATAAGGGCCACAGATAACATTTAAATTAGCAAAATTATTGAGTGGTGCTTGATAATCTTAGTGATCTTAACCTTAAGGAGTTTGAAAAAAACTCCATGCAATTACTCTTTTTGGGCTCCTCTTGAAGCAGGGGACCCTAGACATAGGAGTTGGTTGCTGTAATATTTGCTGTAATATTTGTTCTACAACATTTAAATGTTTTCATTATACTCAGTTGGAGATTTATCTGTTTCCTTCCTTTCTGTCTTTTTTCTTTCTTTCTCTTTCTTTCTCTTTCTTTCTTTTTCCTTCTTTCTTTCTTTCTTTCTTTCTTTCTTTCTTTCCTCCTTTCTTCCTTTCTTCCTTTCTTTCTTTCTTCCTTTCTTTCTTCTTCTTTCTCTTTCTTTCTCTTTCTTTCTTTTTCCTTCTTTCTTTCTTTCTTTCTTTCTTTCTTTCTTTCCTCCTTTCTTCCTTTCTTCCTTTCTTTCTTTCTTCCTTTCTTTCTTCCTTTCTTCCTTTCTTTCTTTCTTCCTTTCTTTCCTTTCTTTCTTTTTCTTATCTATTTATTTTTTTTTAACAGATAACAGGCCTGGGTGTGAAAGGGATCCCACAGAATTTCTATGCTGCTTGACCACCGACACTAAATAGCAAAGACGAAATGCTTGCATCTTATAGTAACTCTGACCAGGAGAAGTCAAATGAACTACAGAATTTATCTGTGTGAGGATTTGTAAGCCCACATTTGGGAGTGTGCTTGTTTGGAATTGAAGATATTTCTTCTTCTGTGGGCCCATGGCTTGATGCAATAGGTTAGAGAGGTAAAGTTAATCTGTGTTACAGCTTGATAGCTTTTGTGACTTACCATAAACCTCTTAATGCAGAAGCGCAGTTTTGTTGAACTTTCTGACGACTAGCTCTGGATTTTCAAGTCTATGCAGTTCCGAAGCGGAATCTGACTCCTCATTTTACAGTGATGTACCAGCAATGATATGGCAGATTTTAATAAACATTTTAAGAGTGGTGACTTGAACTGGACTGTTCTTTTGCTGTGGGACTTCCCCTGAGGTGTTTTTTTTTTTTTGATGATCAGACCTATCTGTCGTATCCAGGTTCTATTTTTAGATCCTTGTTAGCCTTTTTCCAGGCTGTCCTCTAAGACACAATTTAAGCTGCTGAAAATCAACTATGCAAATATATTTAAAAGAATGCTTACAGATGTTTTTTCTCTGCATTCAGATATTACCATACACAGTCAGTGCACAAACAGGCTGTGAGCTACCAGGATACAAAAAAGGATGCTCAGTAGAGTCGCCCTGTCAGGGGTCATATTTACACCCATACACATGGACTTCCCTTTGCTTTACATGTCAATCTCTTTATCTTGTGCATCTCCAATAGGGGCTTTAGCTTCTTCCTGTATCCCTTTCCTGTTCCCCTTTCTTCTGGTGCTATTCCTCTCCTGGTTCAAGTACTTTCCCCCTTTTTACCTTCAGATCCTCCCCTTCTTACTCCTCCAGAAACAACAACATAAAGATGTATTTTTAGAGCTGTTTCAATAATGACCCAACCCTATCCTGGATTCACTGAACCACTGTGAACCTTTCAGTATTTGAGAATGCTTGAGACCCGCAGATAGGCAGTGAAAGTTAGCCTTTGCATTGAATTTGCTAGCTTCTTACTGCCTGAAAAGGTACACAGCACAACATGCATTTTCAGATCCTTAATGCTGACACTTCATGATGTTACAAAGAAGTCAATAACATGCATCATCTACCAGACCACAGCTTTCAGTGTCTTCCTCTGAGGTATTTGACCTTTTCACCCCTGTTATTCAAAGCCTTGAGCTAGCCCTCAGACTCTTTGAGCAGGGAGAAAGTACTCACTGTCTCAAAAGGATGACCTCCCCCAATAACCTGTCAGTGGAGGAGCAGAGGAATTATGGTTAACCGTGCAGAAATGTTAAACACAGTTTACATGGGGCTGTATGCAGCTTACCTCTAGAATTAGCTGTTTTCTCCAAAACCATAATCCCTTTCCTAGTTAGGAGAGGAATTCTTTCAAAACTCCCTCTTGGCAGTTTTGGAAGAACCAAGCTGGATTGATTTCTTTCTTTGAAAATATCCATATTGCCCAACTCTCTTATGTGGTAGCCTTCTGGCCTGCTGACAAGCAGAAGATCTGGTTCTGAGCTCTGATGAGGCAGAGGGCAGATCAAACCACACATTCCAGGAAAATGTCCTAGCCATTTCAAAGGTAGATGTGACAGGGAAAAGTTAGGTGGTATATTTGGCCCCTCTGGTTGAACTGGGCCACAGTCTAGAAGGAAATGTGAGATCCAGAGGTCTGAGAAGGGAGCTGCATTCACTAAGTACTATTGAATATGCTTGGCCATTGAACAGGATTTTCCAAAATGCATTATTTCAAAACAGTTTACCTGAAGTTTACTGTAAAGTCCACATTAGGTACTTTTCAGACACTTACTCTAGATGATTATTTTAGGCCATTAGCAAGCACTTTACTTCTATGCTATTTGACCAGATAATTGGTATAACAGGTATGCCAAACTGGTATGAGGAACCTTGACAATTATGCAAGATTTCCTGTTTACCCCATCTGGAGAGGATTGCAAAGGCAGGATGTTTGGAGTCAAGTCAAGTATCCTAACCTTTAATTTGAAAAAAAAAAAAAAATGTAGGAAGTGAGTGCAGATACCTTGTTTAATAAAAAATACCCAATTATTTGCAAAATTGCCTATCTGCTAGGCTCTTTGCTCTGCCAGAAAAGTAGATAATTTTGAAACAATTTGTACTTGAGAAATCCTTAATAGTCTCATAATTTTTTTCTAGAGCCTCCCCAAGCATGCAAGCCAGGGTTGCTGGTTTGCGATTTTCCAGCCACTCCTTCCTCCATCTCTAAAGGGAGACACAGTGTGTGCTGCTCTCAAACTCCAAGGTCTGAGTGCTTTGGGAACCCTTTCTTTGTAGCGCAGCTTCTCAATCTACAAATGGTTTGAAGATGAATTTCTCTCTAATACCCAAAGGCCCACAACTTTTCTTCTCCTCAGATTTCAGAAGTGTCTGTTTTGTGATATCACTTTCTAAAAAAAAAACAACAAAGTGGTGAGGAAAACCATATTGGGGCTGTTCTGCAGCCTCAGTTAACCAAAGCGAAGTAAAGGGCAAAGGGCAAAAGGGCAAAAGGCAAAAGGCAAAGGGCAAAAACATGAAGGAAGGGACTGGGTTCATTCCTTTTGTGCATGAAGGGAACCATATGGTATCTATAGTCCTTGCTGAGGATAGAGTCTGAGGTGGTTACTGGGTGGCTGAGTACTTGGTTGGTGTGGGTCAGCCCTACGTGGTGAGAAGCATGACAGGGAGGATGCTGGCAAGGGGCAACCTACTGGTGGATCACAGTCAGAACATAAACCAGCTAGTCAACGAGATAGCAGAGACTGATGGGAGCTGGCTTCCCTTTTAAGGGAGTGGTCTGTACATCCTGCCTTTTACAAGCTTTTCTAAGTATTTACTATGTTTTATGTATATTTAACCTATACTATGCTGGATAAATCTTACTTCTCTGCATGCTTTTGTGTGTGTTTGGAATCGGCTTTCAACTGGGAAGAACCTGACTGCCTTTTCTTGCCTTTCTGAAAAGACATGTCTTTGAGAAAACCTATTCAGTCTAAACCAAGGGTCTCCAAATATTCATAAGTGCAACCTGGATGTTACTGAAGCTAGTTAAACATCACAGCTTTGCTGACATTGCTGTTGCATCCCGTGTGCTCTCACAGGTCTGGAATTGGTAAATACAGGGATGTAAGGTTTGCTTCGCTGGCTTGTACTGTTGTGCCTGGGACTTTGGGTAGCAAAAATGTAAAAATACTTCTTAATCATGGATAAGAAGATATAATAATTTTTCTATAATGATGTTTATCTATTTCTTGTTGTGATTATCTACTTCATTATAGAAAGCATAAAGATGGCCTCTTTACTAGTGAGAAAGGGAGTAGAGAAAAAGTAGCTGACTTTAAATGGTCAGGCCCATCTGCTGACCAAAGTCACCCCACAGGTCATGCAGTGATCCTGTTAATTGTTCATAGGGCAAGTGGCTTTTCATTTTCCAAGAGTATTTTCATGTGAATAGAGGTTCAAAGTTCAATGTCTTTCCTCTTATAGGCTGGTCTGTTTCTGTAAAAATGTTGCTACCAGGACAGGTAGAATAAGATGATATTAAACTAATAGTGTTCTCAGTTAGCCATTCTATGGTTAAGTCCTCACTTTGTGAAGCATATAAAAAATATGCTGGTGATCGACTGGTGTTGTGAAATTCTCTACCTGACTGCATGAAAATTTGGTCCAAGCCCCCAGTTAGAAATCAGCCATTGGTTAACTTCGTTCTTGAAATACATCAAACTGTGGTGGAATGGAAATCAGTACAGCATTTGGAATTAAAGTTTTTTGACTTATACAAGTTGTGATAGCCTTCTTTTTCCCTATTAAACTTTATGTCTATGACTTTTTAATAGCAGCTATCTGGACTCTGTCCTGGGATGTTCTAGATAACTGTAACTCTTGTTATTCTCTGTAAGAGGTGCTGTCACAACAGGATATCTGTGTCAATTTATAAAAAACAGTATCCTCTCTTGTATGTTCAGGACTTCACATTTACCGTGGGCAACCTGTTCCAGTGCTTCACTGCCCTCACAGTTGACATTCTTTTCCTAATATCTAATTTAACCTACTCTCTTTCAGTTCAAAGCCATTCCCCCTTGTCCTATCACTATATGCCCTTGTAAAAAGTTCCTCCCCAGCTCTCCTTTAGGCTCCCTTCAAGTACTGAAAGGCTGCAAAAGGTCACCACAAAGCCTTCTCTTCTCTAGGCTGAACAATCACAATTCTCTCACCTTTTTCTCACAGAAGAGGTGCTCCATCCCTCTAATCATCTTCATGACCCTCTTTTGAACTCATTCTAACAGGTCTGTGCCCCTTCTGTACTGGGACTCCAGAGCTGGATACAGTACACCAGGTGGGGTCTCATGAGTGCGGAGTAGAGGGGCAGAATCCCCTTCCTTGACCCACTGGCCGTGCTGCTTTTGATGCAGCCCAGGGCATGACTGGCTTTCTGGGCTGTGAGAACACATTGCCAGGTCATGTCCAGCCTCTCATCCACCAGCACCCCCAAGTCTTTCTTAGCAGGGCTGCTCTTGGTTACTGCATTATGACTGATTCAGGGTCTCGCAGAAAATCTCTGTCAGGAACAGGAAACCAACTCCATTTCCTTAATGTCAGTTCAGTGATTTACTCACTATAGAATCACTGAGAAATAAATAACAGTGTAATCTGAAGTCTGGGGAAGCTTTCCAGTGACTCTCAGGGGCTTTAAAGACAGGAGTTACTTCATTTTTGACATTATGTCTGTATAGTTGAGTTCAGGCCAAGCATTTATTTTCTGCTGCAGAAATTGCCTCAAGGCACTGTGGTTTTTTGTCAGCCCTTTCTTTGCTCACGTACACTAGCCAGACTAACATGTTAGTTGTCTTTCTCGTTTGTATTATAACATTAACACAAAGCTTTGGGAACTTATTAGGAAAAATTTAGGGTGCTTCTTACATGGAGATGAGAGTAGAAATGAGAAGTTCTGCAAACCCTCAGATAGAGAATATGTAAATACTGTTGTCTTTAGTAGGGACTTTGTTTATCAGCCTTTAACAATGGAAATGTATTAATTTTACCTTCATTTTTTACTTTCTTACTGATACCTCTAGGGACAAGAATGTTTAGAAATAAAGCAGTGGAAGATTATTTTGTTCCACAATGGTGCTAGCTTGTTGTTTTCATTTTCTCTTAAAAACTTTTCACTAATTCTGCTTTCCCAAAGCAAGGATAGTGCATGGAGACCCATTTATATAGCTCCAGCATTTGTATCTTAATCCTAGGTGCCTGGTGATTCCCTCAATCTCTCTCTCTTTCGCTACAAAAAAATAAATAAACAAACAAACAAATTTTTATAATAAATAAATTCCCTTCCTAG